GGGTTGGACTAGATGACCCACAGAGGTCCCTTCCAACCCCTACTATTCTGTGATTCTATTTTCTGCCTCCCGTTTTTGCGGAGCCGGAGCTGTGCTGACCCAGTCGGCGTGGCACTTGTCAGCAGTAAGCTCAGTGGCAGATCAGGCCCCATGGCTGTGCATTCTTTTTGCCTCCAAGTGGTTTCTCTCTGGAATGATGCCTTCATTGAAGTGACCAAAGGGGTCAGGCTCTGCCGTCCTCGCCTGTCACTTGCACCTGGAGCCCACCCTGGTTTTTCTTTTTGCGCAGACCTCTGGTGAGGACGTGGTGGCAGTGCCCGTGACTGATGCCTCAGGGATCTCTGGAGCTAAAAGTGCCCCGAGTGAGAGATGAGGTTGTGTAATACGGGACAGTAATAACTTACAGTCTCCGGAGGGCGGAGAGCAGAAACGCACAAAGAGGTACCTGGTAGTGTATTACAGTTGGCTGTTCTTTCTCTCCAGGTTCATATTCTTCAAATACTTAATTTTTCACTTCTACCAAATTTTCTGTTCTGTTCCTCAGTATACAGAACTGTTTGCTCATTTTTTATTTACATATGCTGTATCTTCTTCCTCATGGATTATTTGACTAGATTGTTTCTCTCTTCCATGTAAAGTTTGCCCTTTCATCCTTATCTGGACTTGACCAAGCTTTCACCTTCCTGACTTCTCTTGATCCCGTGATTTTTCATACATCTTACCCTATGGAGCCTATGTTGCTGCTGCTCTTTTGAGGATGACCTGTCTCTCCTTCCCCAAACTGCTTCTGAGCAAATATATAATTTCTATTTTCCTCTTCAGTACGTATGTGTTCTGCTTACCTTATTACACCTGTTTTGTCTGTTTTCATCTTTAGGTCTTGTCAGAGCTATTCCTATACTTTTATCTTTTTTCTTTTCTCATCCTCATCATTGGTAGCATACAACAAGCAATTTCTCTTACATATCATAAAGCTTGCTGCTTCTGCATAGCTTTTTGAAGATCAACTACTTGGTAATTATAGAGTCATAGACTACAGGCCTGGGCAGGACTTAGAGATGGGTTGATACTGCTGCTGCGAGTCAAAATCAGTAGGACCTGTGTTATTCTGGAAGAATGTTTGTATAACCTGCATGTATTTCCAGTCTCACTTTTAAAATCACTTGTGCTTAATTGCAGACATAAGGTTCTGACCCCTTTAATTCCTTATGTATGGTGTTTGGTATCTCATTTTAACTACCAGCAATCAGGCAATGCTGAATGACTGAACAGTGCTGCACACGTGGCGTCTGATGGAAACAGAATCAAACTCTCCAGTAGTCACTTGTCACAGTTCAGTCTGGTTTTGTTCTATCTCAAACCAACAAGCTGGTCTTTAGATCAGCTTTAATTAGCGTTAGCCTCTTGGGATGTATTGGAATATTTTGATTTTTGAGACCATCTTGTTTGATACGTAAAGTTTTTGAGTTGAACTGGAAGGAGAAAGTGGGAAGGAGACAAACATAAATCTTCAGATGCACAGATTTCTCAAAGATTTCCTTTTTGTTGGAGGCGTACTCATGTCCCCTTCCTCACTCTGAAAAGAAATTTAAAAACAAATTGGGTTTTTCTGCTTGCTTTCTCACAAGAAGTGAAAAATCAGCTGCCTGAGTCCAGTCGCTAGCATGGTCAGGAAAAACCTCAAGGGCAGAAATAATGCGTATAAAATAAATGATGTCCCTGCCTTTATTTCCTGGCCTGGTGCGGGGGTGGGTAGGTCTTGTGTTGGAGTGTTGCTGTACGTGCAGAGACGAGTGTGCACGCGTTTGTGTCCAGGAAGCCTTGAGCAAAACACCTAGCCCCTTTGTGTTTTCCTCTTCGAGAGGTGAAGCTGATAGTGTTTGAAAAATTAGCTTACAAGGAAAGCATCTGCATTTGGTTTTCTTTAATTAGAAGAAATAACTTCACTACATGGGCAGTGGGCTTGGACCTGCCTTGTTCAATTAGCATCGAAAATGTTCAAGATCATTCTGGAAAGGAATCAACTGGGAAATGCTGCACATCAAAATGGAAATGAGATTTTTGCTTTAGACTGCCATTGCCGTTATACCTACTCCTTCAAGTGAGTCCCCGCCGGGGGTTCATTGCAGCTTACTCAAGAAGGTTTGTTGCTGTCAATGGTGAAGGAAAATTGGTCAGCTATATTGGCTGCTCCCCTTGGTGTGATAACAAATCAACATTCGTTTCTGAAAATATTAAAAAAAAATCTGTAAAGTCTCAGTAATGTCTACCTCTTGTCAGCAGTGTTTTGTTTCTGAGACAGTTCTCGGAACGCTGCGGAAACAGCAGAGCTTCCTCTACTCCGTGTAGTAACTAAAGGTCTCAGTCTGCAGCCAGGCCTCTTAAAAGGGAGCGAAATTCCTGCATGTTGTTATTGAAGTACTACTTAACATTTTTCAAAATGGCAAAATATTGTACCTGCTTCAACGCAATTTAGTACTGAAAGTAACCACAATCTTACACGTACGGGTGTTCTCCCCTCTCTTCGCTCCGAGCAGGGGTTGTC